ATTAATCCAAGTTAAAGATTACAATGTCCTTGATGAGTTATCACCAAGCATTTTTTATCTCAACACTTACATTCATTCTGTAGAATTTTACATTGGTGTTGATGTTCCTTACTAATAACCAAGAGTTTATCTCATAAACCATTCAAGGTTTACAATTATATAAAATGTAACAACACTCTCTCTTAAAGTAGATAATACAATTAAATTTTATATTTTTATCACTCACTCAATAGCACTTAAGATATTTGGAAGTATATAAGTGTAACAAGTGAAAAAATTATATTTTTATGCTTAATTATAAAGGTTCAATTAAGCATAATTTTAAAGTATGTTAGAATTGATAATTTTCTAGCTAGTTTTGATTTTGAAATAGTCTCTATATATTGCATGTTCATAATCCTCTTGCATTTTTACAACAAGGAGAGCTATTATAAGTTTTCAAAAGAAACTAGTTGTTTCTAGTCGTGAAGACCCTATTAACAACTTGAATGATCTATTGATTTTAGATTGATTAAGCTAATTAGTCAATCGATTCCTTATATTTCTAGGTGCTCATCTCTGATAAACAAATAGTAGATCGATTTATACAGAATATTAGTTTTGATAGGTTTAAACTTAGTAAATATTAAACCAATTGATTTTAATTTTATAAAATCATATATCAATTATATAATGTATGCAATGTGAATTATGTAAATTTATTTTAATTATGTTATAAAGTAAGATATAAATATTTATACGTAGAGCACTAAAATAAATACTTAAAGACTAAGTCTTCACTTACTTTACATCTTTGACTTGTTGATTGATTTCTTCATTCAATCTTTTATACTTGTTGATAATATTCATATAACTATATTTAAATTTATTCTTAATTGGATATATTATTAATATATTTTATATTTAATTATTATTATCAAAACATATACAAATATTAATACATCATCCAAAGTTCACCATTATTCACTATTTTTTTTTTCATATAATACCTAGTTTTTTCCATACAAAAAAACCTTGTAGTTTATTAGGTTTTTCTATCTAAAAATCTTAACTAATCTAATTGGTTTTCTAAAAACCATAATCTCTCATTGATCTATTTTGATTCACTTAATTATTTTTATTACAGAAACGTTTCTTCTAAAATTCGGATTGGATCAAGTCGTCGCTCGCCAATGATTTGGGCCGACCTCCTTGCCTGCTGGGATTCCGATCACTTTGCTTGTTTTTTACCCCTCTCTTGGTTCTTCTTGCATCGTACCATTTTCAGTGCTTCTCAAACTTGTGTTCAAAGAAGACAAAAAGAGGCCGTCAATGGAATGAACGTTGCGTTGTTGTATAACTGCGACTGTTTAATTCTTCTTTTTATTTTTGCTATAAAGGAAATATTAATGAATTGCTTCTTCCCTATCCAAGTGGTCAAACCTAAGGAATTCTAGGTCATACTATAAAACAAAATACCTTCGAAAAAGATAAAAACATGAATTTATATCTTCGATACTCTGTCGGACAACGGCTATCATCTTTGGAAGTGCATGACTGCATTTTGTAATGTGGTAATGCATTTTTTAAAAGTATTTTTAATTTAAAAATATGTTGAAATAAATTATTTTAATTTTTTATATTAACACATTAAAATCATTAAAAAAACACTAAAAATATATATTAATTTTTAATATTTTTTTCATGCTAAACAAACACTAAAAAGTATTTTTTAAATTTCTTTTTTAATTCAATATTTTTTTCATGCTTAACAACCTTTTAAAATGCATCTAAATATAATTTTAAAAGTAAAAAAAAAAAACGAACTTGGAAACTACATAATGAGACAATATAATTAAATATCTTAATGAATCGTTATGGTTTCTCTCATGAATCAATATAATTTATTGCTAAAATGAACACTATTTGTTTCATTGTCCGATTTATGACCAATTTATTTGATAAAACCTTATAATTTATAATTTATTGTTTAATTTGACTTCATAATTTAACAATTATAATTATATTACATTTGAATTAAACAATACTTGTTTGAAATAAAATTGATTAATAATTCATGCTTGTACTCTGAAATGATTAAATCACATGCATGAAAAAAAATAAGGATAAAAGAAGAAGCTTCCTTTTAAATTCCTCAATTCTATGGTAGATTTAATAGTTGATTCAAAGTATGACTATAATATAAAAATATTTGCATGAACAGACAGCTAGCTAGCTACCATATTTTCAATCATAATGGAAAGCTTTTAGCAAATATTTTTGTATCAATGAAAGTGAAGGGTTTCATTTGTTGTAAAAAATATGCAGCAATTATTGAGATAAACTAAAAAAAAACATAAAATTTAAAATATTGTTCGGTAATTTATCTACAATGAGAAGTTCTTATTTTTACTATATCAAAATACGGTTATATAATATGTATTTATAATACATCCTAAATTGTCCAAGAAAATCTAGCCGCCCAAGAGTATTAATAATTTTTTTTTAATATCCCTTTACCGTATTGCTCTACTTCACTTCGCTCAAACAAATTATGTCGTTTCGCTCCGTTTTGTTTGGTATGCTCTACTCCACTTTTATATTTGTTTATGAGCCATAAACGATAATAATTGCAAACGTTTTTGGATCAATGAAAGTTAAGGCTTCCATTGATGCTTTGTATTTGGCGAGATTGGAAAACATCATCTGTAAAACTATTGGGGATATTTTTTATGGGTTAATAAAACTAGATGTGAAAGACTTGGTGGGTCGGATGACACCTAAAATAAAAATTATAAAGTTTAAGTCAACATAATATTTATATAGATAACGAGGATAATAAATATTTTATAAATTTAAATATTTTTTAAACTTTATTTAAATCTTGTATTATAATTATATTGTGTTAGAGTTAAAGTTTTGAGAGATTAGTCTTAGTCATTACTTTGACTGACTTAGATCTAGAAAGATAAACTTTTATTTTTATAGATTTTTTTAAAATAAATATTTAATATAAATATCTATGATATATATAGATATATTTATAAAAAGTATATATTGAATAAAACATTTGTATAGTTTTTTCATGTGCATGTTACCAAAGTCTTAGAATGAGGTTGGGTTGGTTAGTTATATGATTCCTCTCTGCCATCTCTCTTTCCTAGAAATCTCTTACTTCAAGACATTGAATTAAGTAGATACGAAGCAGTTTAGCAATAGAGGAAAACATAGCGTATTGCAGCATCTGGTTACTAAATTTATAAATTAATGCAAGGACAAAAGAGGACCGGAGTATAGCATTCGGAATTGGCTAACTCCCGAACGCAGAGGTTGTGTTTTTCTATACTTTGACTAAATTAAATATTCATTGTTTATTATATTTCACATGTACTTAACTTTTTTTTTTAATGGGAACAAAGCTAGAAAATTTTATGAATCTCTTAATTTATTTAAGTTTTTATAAAAAAATTATTTTTATAAAAGATGCATATCCTAACTTAAATTCGAGATTTATTATATAAATTTTAAATTTTTTTATCATCACATTATAATTTTTGAAGATACATACATGTACTTAACCATTACAGTATGTTGAGGCAGTCTCCTGCATATGTTCAAACTGTTTGATACAGTGATGTAAATTAATTTTTTAGATATTTTTTTATTTATAAATATATTATAATAATATTTTTTTATTATTTTTTAAAAAATTAATCAGAAAAATAATTTAAAATAAAATATTTAATACTTTTAAAAAATATAGTCGAGTGCAAAAATAAACACAACCAATAACTACAAAAACATTTGTTGCAGAGGAATTTGAGATATGGTGAAAGACGAATTATCATAAAAGAATTGAAACCATTGAATTGAAAATATGGTGAAATAGATTGGAGGTGAAATTGAGAAGTCTTAAATGTACGAGAATTATAGATTTAAACTAGGATAACACTTCTAACATTCAACGCACCAAACTCTCTAAATTCTTCCAAGTGTACGACAGGGTTATTTATTTAAAAAGATGAGATAATTTTAAAGCTAAGAGTTTTTTTTTTTTATCCATTTGATATGTTAGTCATAATTAATATATATAAATTAGTTAATAAATATTCCTTATTTTCTAATACAAAAAATCCCAACTACCTTTCATCAAACCTCAAATACTCTTTTATATCATTAAAATTATTTTCTCTAACATAGAAGTCCAAAATTCCAAAAAATCTTTGTTTGACTAGCACGGTGGCACAACCAATTTGGCACCCACACACCAGTTATTGTTCATCAGCCCCACCAAACACAATGCTAGTTTGTGTGTTTGGAATGAGGTGTGACAATATATGATTTGTTTTTTTATACTCATACAAAGACTTGTTTTTTATGATAATTATTTTATATATAAAATAGATTATAAAACAAATTAAATCATATCTTATCAAGACTATAGATTATAAAACAAATTAAATCATATCTCATTGAGACTATCTCAAACATCATTTTCAAATAATTATTTTAAAACTGAGATAGGTATACTTATTCAAAATATTCAGATTAAAAAAAATAAAATAAAATATTTTGATTAATCCAATATAAAATCTGGATTAACTTGGTAATTCAGTCAAAATCAAACAATTTAATTTTAAATTTTTTAAATTGATCTTTCTTGACTTGTAACATATATTTTGGACTGGATATTAAAATTATTCTTTGAAGCTATAATGTAATATTTAGATGGTATTTGAGGGTATAGTAGTGATTGTTTTTATAGTATTTTTTATTTAAAAATATATTATTATTTTTTTAAAAAAACTTATTTTTAATATCAGCATATCAAAACACAAAATATAGAAAAAATTAAAGTAAAAAATAAAATAAAATAAAATATACTTATTTTAAATACTTTTAAAATATAAAAACAAATAAATTATTAGATTTGTACCAAGTAAGAAAACATTAAAGTTGTACTATGCCAAGAGCGATGGCTGTCGATTTCCTTCTATAAATACGGATACAAACTCCCTAACTTAGACCACAATACTTGTTATTACTACCACTACTATTAATTCTTCTAATAATGTCTGCCACTATGTTGCAAGTAGCAGATGGCCTCCTTGCTTTGCCAGGAGCCAAGCATCTTCCACACACCTACAAGGATCCCATTTCCAATCTTCCAACCCACCCTGAGGCTCAGGTATCTGATAGCTCCATCCCCATCATTGATCTGGAAGCCCTTCATGGTCCTCGCCGCTCCGATATTGTCAAGCAACTTGGCCAGGCATGCCAGCACAAAGGTTTCTTTGCGGTAGGAGTTTCTTTTTGTTTTTTTTGAAAATCTTTCTGTTAGAGTTTATACTCGATGCTAATTGTGCTAAATGGTATATGGTGGTGCTAGTTTTTCATGAATGGAAGGAGTCATTTTCTTGAAAACTGGTTATAGCACCATGACATCTGCCCAGAACTAGGAAAGTGGAGAAGATAAGGAACCACACATGTAAAAGACAAGACTCCATTGCAAATACACAGCAAAGTAACAGCGCAGGTCCACATAGGCCAGCTATCGAACACCTTGTGGACATAGTACAGAAAAAGCCATAATAGTACACCTACGGACAGGTTACAAGAAGGGTTAAACAGAAAATGAAAGAAAATAATTCTTGAAAATTACCAAAAACAAAGCAAAAAAAAAAAAAAAAAAATCCTCTTCTGAACTACTTATGGGAAAAGAAATTATGCAAAATCTGCTATCTTCCAGAGTAATATAGTGGTCCTGTTATATGGAATTTTCATGGGAAGACATACAGTGTTTGGCAGTTGTTTATGAAGACCTTTGGCAACAACTTTGCCTCTCGCAGCATGCTACTGTGCTTGCTGTTAATTTTTATTTTTGGCAGTAGTTGTAGTTTGGTGTACTATATTCTCTTAATTTGTATATGCTTGAAATCTAGCTAGTTCTCACAAATCTATTGTTTTTCCTTCTTGTCAGGTGAAGAATCATGGAATTCCAAGGACAACGGTTAGCAACATATTCGACACAACAAGAGAATTCTTTCATCTGCCAAAGGAAGAAAGAATGAAATTCTACACTCCTGACCCTAACAGTGACATCAGGCTAATGAATGCTTATAAAGATGAGGTTGCAAATGTCTTTGTAGCAAGGGAATCGTTGAAGTTCCATTGTCACCCTGTTGAAAATTACGTGAATAAATGGCCAACAAATCCTCCTTCCTTCAGGTAAACAAAAGCTAGCACACGTTATTATAATCTTTTTCTATAAAAATTCGCTTGTCGTAATTGTTCCATCTAGTTCTTCGACAAACCCCTGACATGCGCGAGTCATGGAGGGTGTAGATGAGATAGTCTTGGCAGGCACCGATGCCTAGCACTAGCCCATTGGAGATTTTATAGTAATAGTAATTAGATTGTTTGGTGCTGCATGTGTGTTAACATTTGATTGCTGACAGGAAGTATGCCGCCGAGTATTTGACAAATGTGAGGAGGTTGGAGATAACACTACTTGGTGCAATATCAGAGAGCTTAGGCCTGGAAAGAGATTATATAGAGAAGAAATTGGGTGGACATTATGTATCTTTGAACTACTACGGAGCTTGTGAACAATCAGATCTCGAGCTTACTTATGGAGTGCGTGCCCATACTGATCCAACTATAATAACTATTCTATTGCAAGATGATGTGCCTGGACTTCAGGTTCTAAGTGAGGGCAAATGGATGGATGTTAATCCTATTCCAGGCACAGTGGTTGTCCATGTTGGAGATCTGCTGCAGGTAATCATTTATATCTTTTCATGTATAGTTTTAAGCTAGATTTCCTTAATTGCCATTGACAGTCAATGCCCTATTCAGGGAAACTACATTAATTGTAGTATTTAATATAGACTTCTGAACCACCAAATTGGGTTAATGACATTTTATATGACTTGACTTTGTGTTGAAAAACACAACAAAATAATTGATTTTGACATTAATAAATGAAGGTACCATGTACATGTCATAAGTCTTTTCATATCAATTTTATGGTGTTTATACAATAAATATGAGCAGTTATTCAGTGAAATCCATAAAATTTCTCGATTTTCAAAGTGTATATGCGGCTTCCCAAAATCTTCGAAAATCCCAAACTTCCCCAGAACTAGTTATTTTCTGGGTACTTTTACGAAATGCTTCTCCTTGAATAAAAAAACTACAGTCAGACCTTCCAATTCTACAGCTTTGGATTTGTCACTGTATGTTTGTAGGTAAAAATACTAGCATGCTACGTCTTGCTCTCTTTGTTGTGATAGTTACTTTTTTCTCTTGTGTTTCTTTTGTATCAGGCAATTAGCAATCATAGATTCAAGAGTTTGCTCCATCAAGCTATGGTGAATTGTGAGAAGGAGCGTATGTCCATCGCCTCCTATTGCTATCCATCATCTGATGCCATGATTGGACCTCCTAAGAAGTTGATAGACAATGATCATCCTGCTGTCTATAAAGATTTCACGTTTAAAGAATTCAGTGAGCAAATGTGGAAAGTAATTTCTTTTACTGATACGCGTTTGGACTCGTTCAAGTGTTCCACTGCCTGACCCTCTGCTTCTGAGATAGCATATGCACTTGTATAATAAGAGAGAACATGTAGCAGTTTTGCTGAATAATAAATATCTTTTAGTTGCTTTTGGTAAATAACTAATTTACACGGCAAACAATACTGTAGTATGAATAAAAAAAATTGAATATTTTTTTTTAATCATCGCTCATGTTACATGAAATTATATGATATTGTTATTAAATTAAGTTTAATGGATCAAATCTCTCAATCCAACTCTCTTAATCTAAATTCTTATCTAAATTTACTCATCTAAACTAAATTTAAAATAAAAATATGTAAAAATTGCCACATAACCCATTAACCTAATCAACTTTGTAATTAAAAAATATATTTTACTTAAAAAAATAATTGAAATGTCATAATTCAATTTTAAATTCTTTTTTTATGCAGATATAAATAAATCAAATTACTGAAATAAAAAAATATCCATCATATATACCTTGTTATCAAATACAAGCTTCTTGGATTTTTTATTACTTCCTATCCCACCACACAGTAACACAGCAGCTTCCACCCGTTCCTCTCTTCCCTGTGGCGGCACCGCCAGCCACCACTAACCATCCATTCTTCTCCACCACGTTACCAAACCAGACCGATCCACCAGAAGCCACCAGAAATTGACACACCAACACCAGCAGCTCCACCCCACGACCAGAAGCCAGCGACGCCTCATTCACCAACCATTAGCTAAAAAAACTCATCTTCACCAACACTGAACAACAACAACACTGCCTCTATCTCCTCCACCTGAAAGAACAAAGACCCATTAACCCGAAGAGACCCTTCAACCTCCAGTCGATATCCCAAGCTCCAGCAGCACCAGCAACCCAAACCAGTCCCCATCGTCATGAACCAAGCTAACCCACATTGTCCTCCAACTCTCACGCTATTGTCTCTTCTTTCCTTCGCCAACCACCAAAAGAAACAGCCCCGTTCCAGTCACACGGCAGCAGCGAGAAGTTTGAACTAAATCGCCACTCCAATCGACCAGGTTCTGCTCCTTCCATGGCAGTGATGAAAAAGCTAAACCAGAAGACAGAAGACGCAGCGGGGAGAGAGAGAGAGAGAGAATTAAAACTGATTGTTTATGTTAATTATTTGGATTTGCAGGTGATGGTGAAATTCATAGGTAGCATAAAAAGAAAGAGGATGAAGAGCTGTTTTAGATCCGCTAATATCCCCTTTTTACCGGCAGCAACTCGTGGATTCACGTACAGGCAGTGGTGATGGCGTATGAAGCCCACGTGCCGCCACAGCTCTTGCACTTCTATAAGTTCTAGCGGTTCCTCCATCGTATTCCGACCATTTGGTTTTTTATCCAGAAGACGATTTGTTTAATTGTGTTCGATAATGTTCAATAAATATTTATAATGGTACGGTGTGTTTTAATTAGTGCGGGAAAGGGTGTATATATATATATATATATATATAATATTTTTATATGGTTACATTTTACATAATAGTTGCCTAGCCATAATTTTTTAAATATGAGATAAATTATTAATAAATATTTAATATTTAATATTATATAGATATGTGTTATATAAAGAAATATACTAACTTAAATTAAGTAAAATTTTAAAAATAAAAAAAATTACATTATAATTATTCTCTTCAATATTTTATATTTTAAAACTACTTCATAATAATTTTATTTTTAATCTTATTAAAAATATATTTTTCAATATATACAACAAATTTTTATTTATTTATTTCTAAATCTTTCAAGAACTATGAAAGTTGTTAATAATAATTCTATGCTGACACATGATACATAGCATCTAAAATTATATGTAACTTAAAAGGATTGTCATAAATTTGTACAAATGGATTAAATATAACTATTAAATATTTTTTTAATTTATCTATTATGTCTCTAATTTTTTTAGTTATTCTGTACTTCACTTTTAATTACTAGTATCATCACTATTTTTCATATAAAATTCATAACAAGATGTATTAATTCATTAAAACTCATTTTACTTTATATTCCTTAGTATATAATATTACTTATACATATATTAATTCAACAAACCCATAAATTATTATAAACTTTAATATTTTCAAAAACTAATTAGTATAGAAAAGGAAGCTAATAAATAACTAACAAAAAAATTATTTTTTTAAAAAATTAAAAGAATAATGACCACCTTTTGTATTCATGTGGCTCCGCCATACACATGATACATAGCATCTAAAATTATATATAACTTAAAAGGATTGTCATAAATTAATGTTGTTCTTACTACTTGTTGTTTTGTACAAATGGATTAAATATAACTATTAAATATTTTTTTAATTTATCTATTATGTCTCAATTTTTTAGTTATTATGTACTTCACTTTTAATTACTAGTATCATCACTATTTTTCATATGAAATTCATAACAAAATACTTATTGATTCATTAAAACTCATTTTACTTCATATTCCTTAGTATATAATATTATTTATACACATATTAATTCAACAAATCCATAAATTATTATAAACTTTAATATTTTCAAAAACTAATTAGTATAGAAAAGGAAGCTAATAAGTAGCTAACAAAAAAATTATTTTTTAAAAAAATTAAAAGAACAATGGCCACCTTTTGTATTCATGTGGCTCCGCCACTCTAATTGGCCGACTGATCGAAGATGAGTAAATTTTTTATCCCGTTGTGTTTTAGAAGTATAATAAGGTAAAAATATTCTATTTTACTAAATATTTTTTAAATAGAATTATTATTATTATGCTATTATATATATATATATATATATATATATATATATAATCCATCATTGTTTTATATTTTTTTAAAAGAACAATCACAAGGTTTTTTTTAATAAAAGAAACAAAGCTAATTTTTAATCATTGTAGATTTCAACCTAGAATTATTTTAACTTTTGAGTTAATAAATATTGTGGTTACTATTTTTAATTCTAGCATTAATAAACATGAAAATGAAGATAAATGATTCTATTAGATAATCTAGTTCACTAAAACTTCAAATTATTTTCTCTTAAATCAATATTTAATAAATAATTAACACAATCAACATGTTTATTTCAATTTAACGAGATGAATTTTAATCAACATTAACAAATTCTTTTTGAAGTCTAGAACTCGAATTCTTTCATTAAAAATATATAAAAGTAAACTAAGAATTACAGAAGGATTTTAGGATTTATTATAATTATTAGTAAGTCATGGGGTTTGAATTACTTTTATTAGTTTTAAGCCACCCGTTGGAGGCTGATCTAGAACTATTTTGACAATTGAAAAGACCAGGCATGCACGCTGTGCCTTTCGAAGAAAATATATTATTTTGATGGCGTTTGATTTTTTGACTTCCATAGTTTCCAGTCAATATTCTTATCTTTTATAATAATTTAGCAACACTAGCAGTAGATTATAAGGTACCAAAACTTAAATTACGAGACTTGTCTAGACTCTGGAATGTGGCTGTGCGAGCCTGAATTAATATATTATAACGCACAAGATTTTGGAGATAACAATTTATACCATTCCAAGAAAGATCATAGTCCAATTAAGGATTTATAATTGTGTATAATAAAAATTTACAGTTGGACTTTCTTGACCTACTTGGGCTCGTTCTTCTCTTTTTCCCCCAACAAACAGCCTAAATTTGAATTAATTTTAAACACAAAAACATATTACCATATAAAATAAAAACTATTTAATAAAAAAATATCTTTGCTTTTTACAACTTTTTTAATACACCTCAACAATAAATTAAATTTAATAAATAAATTAAGATAATGTTTAATGGGTGCCTTGGAGACAACCATTAGCTTTTTCCTTGTTTTATTTCTCGAACCAATTTAAAGCATAAAATTCAAAGCTATATATATGGAGTTGAATATATTTAACTCCATATAATCCTAACATATTAAGGATTATATGGAGTTAAATATATTTTTATTTTTTTGGCAAAAATTGTTTTCTTTCATTAAAATTTCGCGTAGATGATCATCAGAGCTATAAGATTTATTTGATCCATCATTCATTATTCATTAACTGAGTATAAACCCTTTCGAGTAACAACATTCTTTAGAACTCCACTCTCTTAAATTAAAATTTCCTGTAAATTAACAACAGTCAATTCACTCGCCATTGTACAAATTTAATTTTTGAGGTAGATCGAGTGCCAATTTATTCCTTAAACTCAATTTTCCTTGAACAATTCAACTGCCAATTTCACTTGACATCCTGTATAATAAAAATTCCACCATATGAAGATATATAAATGCTTCCAAGCAGAGTACTAGAAGCTTGTGCAAATGTAGACATACTATGCCTTTGGGATTTTCCACAATCGCTTCATTTTTTCGCCATCCTTATATCTAGAACTATATATTTTGAATCTTGAAAAACATGCACGATATGACATAATTTGGAGAAGAAAATGTTATTTTGATGGCGTTTGATTCCTGCAATTTGGAGGAAAACATGTTCCATTCCTCTTTAATAATCTTAAAAGTCTCCTACATGTAATTAATACAGCTTAACTAGTAAAACTCCTCTAGAATGTGAAGACTATATTGATCCATAAATTCCTGGAATTATAAATTAAAACTGACCACTAATTATCCACAATTATGAAGTTTATAGGAGTAGTAATCAAACAAATAATTACAATTTGACAAATATCCGCCAGGGAGAAGAACATAATAATTAATTAGTCGTGGAGCATTATTTCAGAAAATCAATGGAAACGTCTTTACTTGAGTGATATCTCATCTTGGAAAAAAAAAAAAAACAATAGCATACGACAGCGTAGACCAAATTGTTACATGCAACTGATTATCGGTTCGGTTCAAAAGATATGTTCAGATAGCGAAAGAAATTTTCTGCTGTGCAATGCTTCAAAGATAAGGTTGAATATTGCTACAACAACTTCCAATTATTGGTTACTTAATTCTTTTGGACAAAGGAGAATGTTTATGTTGATCTAATTTATTCACACAAAATAAATTAAAATCAACTAAAATCTAAAATCTTAGAAATTTGAAATCATGGAAGAAAAAAATATTAAAGATAGAGCTTTTCTTGATGTTGACAAAGAAGATGGGGAGTTTTTGAAATAAAT